CCCATTAACCCATTTCCTTGTCTGTTCACCTCAAATCTTCAACAGTTTACATGTCATTTATAACTCCAACTCCCTGGGGAGCACCAGGAATGCTGTTTTCCACCTGCCTCCCTGCCCTGATGACCCACAGCCCTTCAATCTCATAAATTAAAGGCACAGCTGGACACTCACAACTCTGGCCATGCTGAGCTGTAATCCAAACACCAGGTTTAACTCCTTGCCTTTAAACCAGCTCACTGCATAGGTGTTCTGGGCCACTGCCAAGGACTCCCCACCAATCCTACAAAAGAAGGAAGGACAAAAGAAAACACATGAACTGCAGCAGGCAAAGCAACAAGGTCCATCAGCTGCTGGCAGGCCCAAGGTGACCGAATTTCAGAGAAATTTAAGTGTGTACAGGTCGATTTAATGCACAGACACAAGGCAAGGCAAATCAAAATTCCAAACACAACTGCAGTGGCTTCAGAGTAATTAAAAGCATAAGGGATTTTAAGTATTCTAGGAGTGATTATAACTGCAAGACTTGCAAACTCCTATTTTTTGTTTTCTAACTTTAAGTTACAGCAGGAATGCCACTAAAGCTCAGCTTTACAGAGGCCTTGAAAATCCAACAATTTTGGTTCCAAGTGTAAACGTGGCAGCAGTTTTGTGGGACACAAAGATGGGCCTCACCTCAGGGAGCACAAATGTGGTCTTCTGCACTTACCCAAATATGAACCTGCCCATGTCCATCAGCCAGACAGCGTTAAACAGAGCTCCCAGAGCAAAAACCACCTGCAAACACACATGTGAGGAAACATTATAACTGTGCCATTCAATATGGGACAAAACAGGACTATCTTCAACAGGAACAAAAATGCTTCTCCCCTCCCAGACCTGCAAAATGACTTCACACCCACTTCCTACTCCTGGTTTTTTTGGGGCTTTGTTCCTTCTGCCTTATTCAAAATCCTGCTGGCAACACAGTATCCAACCTGGCCCAGCCTTGACTGCACTCAGAAAACACTTGTAGGGCTCAAATCACCTTTATCATACTTAACATGGTAGTTTCAGATCAAACACATAAAACATTTGGTTCTTTCTCATTATTTCACTCATTTTTCAAGCCAGTACAACTCAGAGCTCTCCCATTTCAGGTCTCCTCACCTGCCTAATGAACACACCCTGCAGACTCAGATTATCCTTTGCACTCACCTGCCCAACACACACAAAGATGCTGAATATTATTGTGCCCAACCTGGAAGAGAAATAAAATCACTTAATGCAGAGCTGGAGTCTTTTTTTTTCCCATAAAACACCTAGAGCAGGGAAACAACAATAAAAGGTCTCTGTAATAAATTGTACAGCTCAACATTTTCCTTAGAAAACAGGGACAACAGCCTGGTGGTTTTGGAGCCAATTTATTTGAGCCATAAAGGGAAGGAAGCTCATTTATGCTGGTGGAAATTCCTAAATCATCTGGGAAAAAATATATTGTAACTTAGAAAACCTTTGTATTATAAAGCCTAAAGGCCACGTGCACTTTTGGTTTGGCAAAACCATGGAAGAGGAGTGACACAAACCTCACACTCACCGTATTCCAAACACTCTGTCTATCAGAAAACCTCCAAAGAAGCAAAGAACCACATTGGGCCAGGAATACCAGGCATAGAGAGCCATGAACTGGGCTGTGTTCACCTTCATGTCCTGCAGGATGGAGGGGGAATTAAAAGAAGTGATTACTTGTAAGGCAATTGCAGGGACACAGAGTAAGGATCTGAGGACAACCACACAGAAACAAGTGACCTTTCTGACCTGGCCACTGTCTGTACTTCACAGAATCCCAGATTGGCTTGGGCAGGAGGGGGCCTTAAAATCCATTTTGTTCAACATCAGGGATATTTTCCACTA